TAAAAATAAAAAAATTGGTCTAAAGAGTTTAGACAGTACTTCCCTCGCTGTCGGAAACTTGACGACTGCATGGCTATTGTGTTTTTTTCTCATTACATTTTTGTAGTGGGAATTTAAAATTGCGATGACGTCATCAACATTTTTGCAAGGACACGGATATCAGTTGGGATAGATGTAGTGTAATACTAAGAATAAAATTATTGTATTCCCAAATTTTCGGGAAAATGAATTGGGTCGTTTTGAATATTGATTTTTTATAATCAATAAAATAACGAAACAATTTACTCACGTATACGGCAACTGAAAATCGTTTATGTATAAACATTCTTAATTTAAGATGACAAGCGTAACAGCATACGTGAGAGCCAAACAGAGAAACTGTAAACAAAACGACCATCGGTTTTATTGCTTCGACTTCCGCTTATTATATAAAACATTGGGTTTTATTTTAATTCTTGACGGTGAAATTCAGAATTGGTTGATTATAAACATGTCTATTTCACATTCGCGAAACCAAGTGAACAAATGCAGGTCTGTAATGTTAAAGTCGATGTAAATAAGCGTGCTACCCTTATGTTTCAACCGAGTTTTTCCTTTAACAAATTTTGTGCCTACCAAATTGGGTTGGTTGGGGTGTAATACTAATAATAAGTATGTATGTAACTGTTTATTTCTTTCCCATTCGGGACTTGAAAGAAGTCCGGTTTACATTTTTCCCTTAATATATCTATATATGTACAAATATATATCAATTAAACATATTTTAACTTAAACTAATATTCTTTCTCGAAATGCTTCCTTATTTTCGTTTCTTTTCTAATATCATTTTCATCCATTCCAGACCATCACCTGTTTCGTTCAATAGCTCATTCCTATCTTTCTCGACTTCCCGTAACTCTTCACAATCCTTTAGCCAGTGTTCAATCGTCTCCGGAAATTCCCTACATAATCCGCATCTTCTATCCTCTTCCTCTTTCCAGTAACAGTTTTCTCCTTCTTCATTTCCCACCCTAAATCTGGCTATTGTCTTTCTGTCTTCATTCTTTCTCCCTCTTATTAGATACTCCGGTAATTTTAGACCTCCTATTATTTCTCCATATTTTGGATTATATCTGGACTCTGCTATTTTTTTCCTTTGCTCTTTTCTTTGTAACTCTTCATCTAGATTTAAAATTTCCTTCCTGGGCTCAATACTAATAATAAGTGTTGCCTTTAATTTAATCAATAAAATAAATTGACTTCATTAATTTTTTTTGAACCACCTCTTAAGAAAATCTAAAAAATATGAATGGAATGATAAATCACTAGTACAAACTCATCATATTTTTTGCATTTTAGATAGGATTTATTCAGCAAAATTTAAGGGTGACGTCATCAATTTTTTTAGGAGGGATGAACAAATACATTTTGAACAAAAGTTTACCATGCTTATAATAACTTTAAAATATTCCCAAGATTTCAAAGCATTCGGTTTTGTAATTCCTGATTAAATCGATAAAATAAATTCACGCCTTCATTAATTTTTTTGAGTCACCCTGCATATGCAAATCCAAAAATATGAATGGAATGATAAATCACAAGTACAGACTCATCATATTTTGTACATTTTAGATACGATTTATTCGGCAAACTTTTGAGCTGACGTCATCAGTTTTTTGTAGAAGATAACCAAATATATTTTGACTAAAAATTTATTATGCTCTTTATAACCTTAAAATATCTGCAAGATTTCAAAGCATTCGGTTTTGTTGTTCCTGATTAAATCAATAAAATAAATTTACGCATTCATTAATTTTTTTGAGTCACCCTGTATATGCAAATCAAAAAAATTTGAATGGAATGATAAATCACAAGAAGAGACTCACCATATTTTGTACATTTTAGATAGGATTTATTCAGCAAAATTTTGTGGTGACGTCATCAATTTTTTAGGGGGGACGACCAAATACGTCTTGATCAAAAATTTACCATGCTTATGATAATTTTAAAATATCTTCAAGATTTCGAAGCATTCGGTTTTGTAGTTCCTGAGTAAATCAGTAAAATAAATTTACGCTTTCATTTATTTTCTTGAATCACCCTGTATATGCAAATCCAAAAAATATGAATGGAGTGATAGATCACAAGTACAGACTGATCATATTTTGTACATTTTAGATATGATTTATTCGGCAAATTTTCGAGCTGACGTCATCAAGTTTTTGGAGGGGATAAGCAAATATATTTTGACCAAACATTTATTATGCTCTTTATAACCTTAAAACATCTGCAAGATGTCAGAGCATTCCGTTTTGTAGTTCCTGATTAAATCAATAAAATATATTTACGCATTCGTTAATTTTTTCAGTCACTTTGTATATGCAAATCCAAAAAATATGAATGGAGTGATAAATGACAAGTACAGGCTCATCATATTTTGTACATTTTAGATATGATTTATTCGGCAAACTTTCGAGCTGACGTCATCAAGTTTTTGGAGGGGATAAGCAAATATATTTTGACTAAACATTTATTATGCTCTTTATGACCTTAAAACATCTGCAAGATTTCAGAGCATTCGGTTTTGTAGTTCCTGATTAAATCAATAAAATATATTTACGCATTCATTAATTTTTTTGAGTCACCCTGTATATGCAAATCCAAAAAATATGAATGGAGTGATAGATCACAAGTACAGACTCATCATATTTTGTACATTTTAGATATGATTTATTCCACAAACTTTTGAGCTGACGTCATCAAGTTTTTGGAGGGGATAAGCAAATATTTTTTGACTAAAGATTTATGATGCTCTTTATAGCCTTAAAACATCTGCAACATTTCAAAGCATTCTGGTTAGCAGATTAAAAACTAAATTTCAAAATGTTGTTTTATAATTTTGATTTTTTTTCCAAAAATCTGGACGTTTCGGGTGAAAAGTCGATTCAGAGTTGTAAACTACATGTGTAGGACTATGTTATTTTATACAATTGAAAACCCATTTACTATGTACAATTTTGAAGTGACGTCATCGCATTAGTGGTGGGGATGATTAGACAAATTTTGGTTAGCGTTTTACCATCTACATGATATTCTTAATATAAGTACAAAATTTCACAACAATCGGTCGAGTACTTTCGGAGATTATCTGTCTAATAAAAATCCGGGACGGCAGACGGACGGACAGACGGACGGACAGACGGACAGACGGACAGACATACGGAAATGGGAGACCTATTTCTTCGTCTTCTAGGGGTCATGAAAGATCGAGAAAACGTAAAAGTAGAGAGTCGGCCGACGGACTCAATTACAATACTTCCTTTGCTTACGCTCGGGAAGTAAAAATTTGAATGCAGTGATAACTCACAAGTAAAAACTCATGATATTTTGCACATTTCGAGTAGATTTAGGAATTTAACTCATTACTATGGAAATTTGCAATTTAACACATTTAAATTTCAAGTTTTTACAAGATTAATGGGGGCAAAATCAGTTTTATCTTAGCAAGTACTAGCCCTGCCCACCCACCCTTTACTTTCGTAGCGGGTATGTCTGCCAAAATCAGTCTTATCTTACCAAGTACTAGCCCCGCCCACCCGCCTCCTATTTTCTCAGAGGATTTGTCATCTGCCAAAATCAGTCTTATCTTACCAAGAACTACTACTGCTTACGCTCGGGAAGTAAAAGAGAGGAAGCCTTTGTTTAACGGCAATTAATCGTAACGACGACGACGCCACGGTTTCCCCAACACGCGTAGCTAATTCTTGCGGCTTTCTAATCGGAAACATGTGAATTTTCGACCGACGCTAACATGTGGTGGAAATTTGTTTTATTGTTTGTAAATTCACAGTTCATGTTAGGATTTTAATCGTTAACTATAAGTCTAACACAATTTTAGCAGTCCTGAAATTTGTTCAGCTAAAGTATGTGCTAGAAGATTTAGATTTTTAAAATTAACCTCTTTCCACTCTGGGAAAAGTACCGTGAAAGTGCAGAGCTACATCACCGACATATTTTCTCGCAGCGTGAAAAATTCATTACCGAGAAGCAACGCCGGAGATATTTTGTGTTGTTTATTTCAAGGTACCATTTAACAATTATAAATTCTTTATTTTACTTGTTGATAAAGTGTGGCATAATTTAACATCAGGCAAATTCTTTGTTCTGGCAGCGGCCATGTTGAAAGGGTATTTAAAAACCGAGCACATGTTTTGAACTGTAAAATCTCGTTAAACAAATTCACAACATTGTGGGTTATGGGGGACGTGTATTTTATCCCTTGGATTTAGACCATTATTTGCACAACGCCACCGGATTGATCGCATTTCTGGGAAACATATTTTTGGCGCATTTTTTGAACGACGCATTGTCCAAAAACGATGGCCCACAATAGCGCTGAATAACTTCACTTTTAAAAATTACCCAATAACTCAAATGGACATAAAAGATTAATCTAATAAAAATTAAATTTGTTAGATTTGCAATTTTTTTTGCAAATTTATTGCTCTTTTAACACTTTGACACTTGTCCAGTTGTAGTTTAATATCACAGTTATAAGAATTGAACATATAAATGGAACTGGTTAAATAACACAAACACGTGGTGGAAGCGGAGTGCGCGGTTCCTAGTCGAGCTGGCGGGATTTATCGCGCCATTTGCACAAAGGACGCAGGTTAAAACACAAGTTTGGGGCGGTCGGGATGACGTGACGCTGTCGACTTGACCCAATAGTCGACACCTAACCCTTAGCATCCAGATTTTTGGAAAAAAAAAATCAACATTGTATAACAACATTTTGTAATTTAATTTGAAACTGCAAAAATTGGATGCTGTGAAATCATGAAGATATTAGGATTGTTTCGTGTTCGTTCCTCTGCGTTGAGGATACAAAATCACCCAAATTTCATTTTCTTTTAACCGCTGACGCTCGTAATCTGAACGTGCTAAAAGTCGAATTCGGGCGAAGTATAAACATAAACAGACGAAGTTAAGCATATACTGAGAAATTGAGAATGTCTGTATAAGTAGCAAAAATTTATTAAAAAATATATACACATAATCAGTTTTTTTAATAAACCTATTCCGCACTCTTTGCTTGATTCACTTTCGTCTTTCTCTTCTTCACCGCCTTCTTCTTCAAAATCACACTATTCCTCCCTTCCTTCTCCTCCTTGCCCACCGTCTCCTTCAACTTACTCAACGCCTTCTTATACTTCTTCCCCAAGGTTTCTAACTCCTCCTCGTCAACTTTAACCTCGTCGATCTCCTTCTTCAACAAAGTCTTGAAAGCCGTCAGTTGTTCATTATGTACAAGCGTCACAGCCAACCCTGACTCCCCCGCTCGCGCCGTCCTCCCCACCCTGTGTATATACGTCTTCAAGTACTTAGGGGCTGAATACGACACCACGCACCGCACCCCCGCCAAATCAATCCCTCTAGCCAGAAAATCAGTACAAATAAGCACATCAATCTCCCCTTTCGTAAAACTCGCGATCAACCCATCCCGACTTTTCCCCCTCAAACTCGACGACACCTCTTCGACTTTTAGCTTCGACTTGAACAACCCCTGGAGGAGGATTTTCAACCGGTGCGTGGTTTCCACGGAATGCGTGAACACAATCGTCTTCGTCAAACCCTCGCGCTTGATAAACGTGTACAAAACCAGAGGTTTCAAGTCCTTGGAACATAGGACGTATTTTTCGGTAAGTTCGTGCGGTGTGGTGTACTTCCCCCCAGAATCTTCCGCGTGGTTGCTGTCAACCACGCAACTGAACAACTTTGGTTGAAACAAAGACAACTTTTCGATTTTTTCGGGGTCTTGGGTCAGCGTGGCCGAAAATAGAAGCTTCTGGGGGGACCTCTGCTTCTGCAAAGTACACAAATTGAGGACTTTGCGGTTTTGTACCCTCGATATGTGTTTCTCTAAGTGGTATAACCAGTCGTCTTGGACGGTCTCCAGAACGCGGTCTGCTTCGTCGATTATGAGGAACTCGAGCGAGGAGAGGGTGAAGCCTTCGGTGGATTTTAAATGACCGACGAGTCGGCCTGCCGTACACACGAGAACGTCAATTTTGCTAACGTAGCCGAACGACGGACTGACATAACCTAGTTGTTTTTGTTCTATGGTGAAGAGGTGCTTGCCGGTAATGAGCCCCACTTCAAGCGCGGTGTCTTGTGTGTACTGCTTGAAACTTTTAAACACTTGTTCAGCTAAATCTTGAGTTGGGAGAAGCACCAAAGCGCGGATTTTTCTGGTGGTGTGTTTTTTCAAAGCTTGGATTACAGGAAGCACGAAAGCTAGAGTCTTTCCACTGCCTGTGGGGGCTGAAACACATATGTCTCTAGGGAACATAATGTCTGTTTCTTTCTGACTTTGTAAAAGATAAGGAATGACTTCTGCTTGAACCGGGAAAAAATATTTTATACCATTTGACTTCAACTGGTTTCGTATTGACTTGTCCAGTTGTTTCATTTTCGACACTTTTGCTGTTAGAGTTTGTAAGTCGGAAGAAATAACTGCAGGGTTTGTAAGCCATTGTGGTAAGACTCTATTGGCTTTAGTTTTTTTCGTGCTCGTAGTGGCACCCAATATCGTAAAACTACTTAAATCGACGTTTGGCTCAGCCGGTTTTTGTACTTTCGTACGAGGTTCTTCGGTCGGTTCGTACTCTTGACTGTCAATTTGTGGGTCTGTTTGGGGTTTCTCTTCCGGTTTTAGGGTCCGTCGTTTCTCCTTTTCTCTTTCTCGTTGTCGTATTCGTTGCTGCTTTTTTCGTTCCACTCGTTTCAAGATTTTGTCGAGCTTCTCCTTTTCTTCTTCTTTCGTGATTTCGGGTTTTTCTTCGCCGTGTCTGTTTATCACGAACAGCTCCATTTTATAACCTCACTAACTCTAACTACCTCGTGCAAATTTGAGGTTAGATCACAATTTTAGTGACAAGTTTGACGTTTACGTCAACACTCGGAAGTGGCTGAGATCGCTTGGACGGGACCTCAGACCATTAAGCAAATAGAAAGACGTTCAAAAACCACTACGATTTAATGTGGCGATTACAGCGCTGCTCGAGCTCCTGCATGAATTAAATCCACTGATTACTAGATTATAATTACTATAGTAGTAATTTTATTTTTAATTACAATTTTAATTCTATAAAAATGAAACTAAATTCAGTAATGAAAAACATATATTTGATAACAATGACAAAATTACAAAACAACTCTCAAAGAAAAACAATTTCATTTCGAAATACCTACAAAAAATAATTTAATTACAAACTGCTTAAAAAAAACTCTTGAAACTACGGGTAGGTGTTAATTTTAAAACCTATTTGAATTATTAATTCTTCTACGATTATGTACTTCAAATTGTTTTTGCAGATTGGTCAATTTTTTATTTATTATTAGACGCACTGCCAAATTAATAATTTCCGTTCTTAAATCAGCAATATGAATGTCACAGTTAATCCAAGTAAAGTTAATTGTTGCTGTTATATGTTCTTTTAAATTTCTTGCAATATTTGGAACTTCTCCAAAATTATCTAAAAAGAAGACTATGGTATCGTAAATCTCAGCTAAGCATGTTACAAATTCTTTTGTAGCATATTTCAACCTTAATTTTTGATCCTGTTCTTTGTAAAGAGTGAAAATATGATGTTCTTCGGTTTTTTGTGCAATTATACAATTTTTACAGTCTTTACATGTGATAGCTTTTAATTTTTTTATTAAAAAGCCACAAACATATGTAATAGCCTGAAGATCATATAAATCTTTAAATGCAGCTCTATTAGTTGAGCTAGAATTTTCTAAATTTACCAACTCATTGATATTTTCTGTAAACTGAAAATTTGTTGGTTTTGATGACGAGGATAAAAATGTTCTAAGATTATCGAGAAGTTTTCCTACATCTTCTTCACAATTCTTACCATATGCTTGATATGCTATCAAATTATTCAAAATACTTGTTTTTAACGCCGATATAAATTGAAAACACGATGGATTACTATTTCCTGAACCGTATTGTCGTATCACTGAAAATAAATTTTCTAGAGGATCCTGATTCAACATTCTTGTTCGCAAAAATTTGAATTCATTTTTTTCACACATCTGCCAAAGAAGTCTAATTCCACGAATTTTATTTAACCAACCTTCTTTAAAGGGCATAGTTGTTTTGAATTGACCACGTACTTCGTCATAAAATTTCCAACTTTCGATTTTTTTTTCCATTTTATTCCAAAAATCAAAATGACCAGATTTCTTTGTTAAAGCACATCTTAGCTTTGGATTGCAGTGGTTGTTACGCATATTAATTAATACCAGTGGAGTTGAAACTGTCGAATAAATCATTTGCGTCTTTTACAAAGAAAGCCGTTTCGATTGCTTCTGAAGGAATATTTTCTTTTGAATCTATTAGAGTTTCAAGTGCAGCTGCCATACTGGCACTAAGTGTTTTTGCTGCAATTGACACTTTCATCTTTAATAATCTATATCTGTTCACGTAAAGAAAGGGTTCTCGGATTTTATGCAAAGTTTGAAATCTTCGAGTACTATCAAATTGATAAGCTTGTCTCAAATACATAAATTTAGCTTTCTTGGTTTCATCATAATAAATCGTATATTTAAGGAGAGCATTTCTTAATGATTTCAATAAATTTGCAATCCTTTCCATCCGCTAACAATATTAAATACAATTTTAAAAGAGCAAATTTTATAAATTTGTATGATGAATTTATAAACTTAAATTGGTCATTTTTGGATTCTGCAACAGACGTTAATGAGGCACTTAGTCTATTTTATGACAATATTTATAAAAGTATTGATAAGTTTGTACCAAAAGTAAAATGTTACACTTCCAAATATCCCATTTGGTATACTCCTGACATAAAAGCAAACATCAAAATAAAGGAAAGACACAGAAATAAATGGAAGCGCACCAAAAATGAAAGCTATTTATTAGAATTCAATAGACTGCGAGGACTAATCAAAACGCAGATTGCACAAGCATATCAAGCCTTCACGTTACGATCTGAGAACTCATTACTAAGTCAACCAAAGGACTTTTGGCGGTTTATTCGTCTTAAAAATAAGGACACTAGAATTCCTGGAGTTATGAAACATAATAATGATTCATATGATGATCCTCAACAAATTGTAAATTTATTCGCTTCGGAATTCTCAAAAATCTTTGCAAGCTCGTCTTCCTATAAACCAGTAGATGTTCACTCGTATTTACCTCCGGTTATATTGAGTCGTGTTTCTGAAGAAGATGTTTTCAACTTTTTACGTAGACTTGCAAACAAGGAAACCTGTGGTGATGATGTGTTGCCATCTTTTCTTATAAAAGACTGTAGATATGTATTTGCGCGTCCGTTGTCAAAAATTATTAATCTATCTCTACAAACGTCAACATTTCCTAAAATATGGAAGAGAGCTCGTATCGTACCAGTTTTAAAAAGCGGCAATAGGTCGGATGTAAAGAACTACAGGCCAATTGCGATATTATCCATCTTTAGTAAAGTTTATGAACAAATTCTATATGAAGTTATTTATAACAAAATTAGATCTTACATCTCTCCTTTTCAACATGGGTTTATGTCTTCTAGATCTACAGTCACCAATTTGTCATGTATAACTCAAGACATCTGTAAATCTATTGATAGAAATACACAGATAGACGTCATCTATGTGGACTTCTCAAAAGCGTTTGACAGAATTGATCATGATATACTTCTATCAAAACTAAGTGCATTTGGACTATGCCCGCAGCTTTTAAGATTAATGACATCCTATCTCTCAAACCGTTTAAATTATGTTCACTTTAATGGCTTCACATCTTACGAATATGAATCAAAATCTGGAGTCCCTCAAGGATCAAACCTAGGGCCCCTTCTTTTCAACATGTTTATTAATGACTTGGTTATTTCATTTACGTGTAAGACTTTAGCCTATGCAGATGATCTTAAGCTCTTTCATTCAATTGTCCATGATGAAGACATGTTATTGCTACAGGAGAACGTTAACATACTGTTTAACTGGTGTATCCAGAACAAACTTCCTCTTAATTATGACAAATGCTGCTTTGTGTCATACACAAGAAAAATCCACCTAATTAACACACATTATGTACTTAACCACTATCAGTTAGAACGTAAAGAGACGATAAAAGACCTTGGTGTAATCTTTGACAAAAAGCTTACATTTACCAGTCACATTGATATGATTTGCAGATCAGCCAACAAATTACTTGGTTTTATTATGAGAACCTCTAAAACATTTCATGACAGTAACGTGATAAAAAGTTTGTATTATGCATTGGTTCTAAGCAAAATAGAGTATGCTTGTGTAGTCTGGTCTCCACTATATCACTGTTACGAACTTCAGTTGGAAAGGATTCAGAAAACTCTTCTTAAATACATATCATTTAAGACTAATGGAGGTTATCCTGGAAGAGGCACGGATTACACACTTTTGTTAGAAAAACATTCCTTTACATCACTGACAAAAAGACGTAATCAACAAGCAGTGAAATTTTTTTTCAAACTTCTTTCCAATTCTATTGATTGTCAAGACCTGTTAGGCGAAGTCTTCTTTTTAGTGCCAAGAATGGGTTCCCGTTTCTCAGTAAGCTTTTTTGTACCTAGGCCAAGGACCAACGTTCTCAGGAACTCCCCTGTTAGCAGAATGTCGCACCTTGCTAATTGTATTTAACTAGAGCATTTCACTACTGTTTTTCATTTTTCATTTTGTATGTAATACTATGTATTGTATTATAATATATTATATATTTTTAGTTTTAGTTTTAGTTTAATAGCTTTAATTACGCTATTGTTCATTCATAGTAATTTATGTTGTCCTGTAATTGGAGTACCTCTGTTGGGCAATAAAATTTATTATTATTATTATTATTATTAATAAATGGGGACTATCATATAAACATACAATTTTTTTTGAATTTACCTTAAAGTATGGTTCCTTATACTCTACATTTGATTCTTCTTTTAACAAACGTAGAGCCTTTACATTCGAAGTGGCCTGATCACAAACGGTGCATATGACTTTTGCGCCGGCCATATTAAGTTTGCTAATAATTTCTTTAATTATTAGTTTTAATTTTATACTTTTAATAGAGTCCTTAACAAAATAGTACGCTATTGGTTGTTTCCATCCGGAACTAATACCTTGTATCATAAATACTAACGCATGGTTAGCATAATTTTTATTTCGTCCTAAAGATCCCAAATCCTCAAAACCAATAATTTTGTCAGTAGATCTCGAATAGGTTAAATTTGTAGATAAAGACACTTCATCAAACATAAGCTTGCATAATCGATCTCTTGGTTTCAGTTTCTCAATTCTCATTTTTAACTTATCAAATAGTTCGTCATTCACGCCACATTCAAAAGGTATATTTTTCAAAAATTTGTACAAAGTTGTTTTTGACGGAAGTCTGAAAAAATGTTTTAAAAAGCGATAACATTTTGGACCTCTTTTGTACATAGCCAAGGCAAATATTTTATTTTCAGTTGACCATCTAGGAATTTTTTTTTTCATGTTATCAAATTGGGATTTTATGAAGCTTGCACTTACAGAATTGCAATTTTCTTGTAAAATGTTAATTAGATGATTTTGGGGAGCACGTTTTAGAAGATCCAAGTTTTTTTTTGATTTACATAATTTTAAATTTAATCTGTTTATTGCCTGTTTCTGGCGTTTTGTTATTCTAAATAAAGTTTGCTCTCTAGGAGTTAAGTCGTCCACTCTTTTGCATCCTACCTTTTTCAAAACACTGGGTGAATATTTTCTTTTTTTCGGAGTATGTGATATTGTCGTGAGAGTATCACAATGGCGTTTGCGTCTTTGTGAATTTACGCTACCATCATACTCAGATTCCGGAATAGTTCCGACTAAAAAAATAAAAATTTTATAATTTTTTTGTTCACTTTTACTGGAATACCCATCACCATTAGTATTAATCACAGCTTGACTACTGTCCTTAAAAATAGTGGGAATTGCGTATTTATGAAGGTTCGTTTGTGCGGTGCTCGTAAAGTAATTTTTACTGAAATGATCTTCACAAATGTAAGCTTTTTTACAATTAACAACAATTTTTTCTGTGCAGGAGGCATTAATGGTATCTATCCACTTTTGTTTTTGAACTGGAGATTTAGGAAAAATAAAAAAATGTTTATTTTTGTTCTTGTTGATTCCTGTTGCGTATACTGACGGACAATTTGGAACTTTGCATCGATATTTATTAATAATTTTCATTTCCGTTGTATCTGAAGCAAGTAAAACTATATTAATATGACTTAAAAATAGCAGATATAATAGCCACCAAACTTACTACTGAAAACCTTTTGAAAAAATTATAATTTGGCGTTTGAATTTGAATGACGTTAAAGGAGATATTTGTTGACAGTAAACACGATCTATTACGAAATTTACACGAGTATAAGCGAATGAGTGTTTGCTCCAGCCGCTCGCGCAGCGCTAGTGTCGCTTCCTAGACTATACGATTAAATGGCAATGAACTGTCTTCCTATTTGTTTAATGGTCTGTGGACGGGACCAAAAAATGAAAAATTCCGTCACATTTTCCTTTTATTTTTGTTACTCTTATAAATAAATATAACATACAAAAAATATTTTTTAAAAATTCTTGATGGAAAAGATTGCTGTCGAAATGTTTACAATAATATAAAAAAATAAAACTTTGAAAATCCATTAAGCAAAAAATACTTAATTATGTATTATTGCAAACATTTTCCGGTGGAGAAAATACAAAACTAGATCCGCATTACCAAAGTAATGTGGTACCACAGTACTTATTTAAGGTTCACAGTTTTTTCGTTCTCACATTTTATGTACAATTTATCCTCCACGTCGATTAAATCCTTTTTCACTGGCGTTGCGTTTAGAATTTCATGAAATGATTGTTCTAGGCAATGTTTTAGTTCTGCGTACGACACCACCAGCATGCTTTGTTCGTCACGAGACATCAAACAAATCTGCAGACATAGAGTTCAACGAGAGAACTTGAACAATTTTACGATAGTCACCTTTTCGGGGACACCTGCGTCTAGCTTATTTAAACATTGTACTATGTGTGCCATGTCGACCCAAGGACGGCCATCCTCTGTCACTTGATGAAAAACGTAGTCCCTAAATAATTTGAGCATGTATCTGTCGCCTGTTTCGGCCCAGGCACCGTCCATGTTCAGTCTAAGCAAAGCAACATAAATTAGCCACCTGAACGACTCACACATGGTGTTAAAGCTGCTACATTCTCAGAGAGCACCACAGGGACCGCTACTTTCAAGTAAACTAATTTTCTATTTGCCAACCAATCCCGGCGAGGGTGATCGTGACGTCACCGATCCCTCTCAGAGCATGAAAATTAGTTTACCGTTTTTCGTTAGGTCCGCGTGCCGCCCTCAACAAAACCCAATTACTCTGGTCTCTCGTTAATAGTGCCCAACTTCGCCATTAATCTGAAAAGTCTCCCGTTCTCTATTTCTTTAGAGACCTCGTACTCTAGCACCTCTATATAACTGTGCAAATTGTCCATCTGCGTATAAAACCTGGCCCCGATCATCGGCATTAAATCTGTGATGCTTTTCCTCTGCTGTGGAGAGAGCAGATACCTAAAACGACAGTCGTACTGTATTTCCTCCGTCCAAAAACTGTCTAATAGTGCCATAAGAGTAGATAAAACGTAAAAACTGACACACTGACTACTCTTATCAAACTATTATCCAGATGGGGTCGCTTCCTACTAACATAATCAAGTTTCTGAGGTCCGTCGTGTACGAGCGGCTTATGATATCCACTGCAGTGGAAATGTTTTCCCTTTGCACAGCCACCGTCGACTTACAGGCTAACGCCAAGACCAACTTTCCCAGGGCCGTCAGATCCTCCTGCTGATAATGCTGGACTAAAGCTAAAGGATTCATTGAGGCATTGCTTTCGTTTAGAACAACATCCATTACACCTAAACAGCTTAATCTTAACCTATTCTTAGAAGTGATTATTATTTTTGTGGGGTCTAGACTCCTGCAGGCTAGTCCTGTTCGTGGTTGGCGAGATGTTATTAATGGGAAAATGGTGGCCGGTTTCACTTACCAGAAGAGTGGATTAATCTCAAGGCGGAAGTAAGTTGGATTATGTAGTTCCAGATTAAGAACTCCGGGAGTTTGTTGTTTTGTTGGTGGCGCAAAATGTTATTTTTTTGATGACTATAAGGTCTCGGTGAAGTGTCAGGGGCGAAAGGGTCGGGTTGATCGGACGAAAAATACTTACTTAGGAGGGTCTCGGAGCCGGGGTAGTAATCGTAAACGAATATCAAAGCTGAAAAGAGGCGAACGGTCACTAGATACTTTCACACTCAAAAAACATCATTGTGTATTCGTACTAAGGCATTAAATATTTATTTTTAAAATAATGTCATTGCATCTAAGTAAATGATAGCTAAGATTTGGCGTCCGCCACGTTTTTATTTCGTCACTGGAATTCATATCGTGATCCAAAGACAGAATAAAAATATAGTAGTAGTAAATCTGTTTTTATTTTTGCAAAATAAGATACTGCTGTACTTGTGGTGTATGAATCCGAGTTGAATTTTCACCCAAGATATCCAGGTTATTGGGAAAAAACGAAAATTATATGTTTTTCGACTTCAACCAAGTTTTTTCGATTTTTAAGTTTGTCGATTTTTCGTTTTTCAATGTTTCAATTTTTCGTTTTTTCAGTTTTTCGATTTTTAAATTTTTTCCAATTTTTTAATTTTTCGAATGAAAAAATGGAACTATTGTAAAACTGTAAAATCGAAAAATCAAAAATGAAAAAAACGAAAAACTATAAAATGAAAACTTAAAAAACTTAAAAGATTTGAAATCAAGAAATTGAAAAAAAATAGAAGAAACGAAAAATTTAGAAAATCAAAAATTGCAAAATTGAAAAATTTAAAAATTGGAAAACCTAGGAACTGAATAATCAAAGTTTCAAAATTTGAAAAATTGAAAAACCATTTTTTGATTATAAAATCGAAAGAAACACTGAAAAAATAAAGGAAATGAAAAAATGAAAAATTGTAATATAAAATCGAGCGAAAATAAAAAAAATCGGGAAAATAAAAATCAAGAACTTGAAAAATTGAGGAAACGAAATATTGTAAAATCGAAAAATTTAATAAACGAAAAATTACAAAATAAAAAAAACGTTGAAAAAATAAAGAAAATGAAAAATGAAAAATTGAAGTAACGAAAAATTGACCTAATACACACACAAGTCAAGAATTCCAATTTTTTGATTTTTCAGTTTTCATTTCATGCTTTTTTTCATTTTTGATTTTCCAATTTTACAAATTTGCAATTTTCCACTTTTTTAATTCGAAAAGTTGAACAATCGAAAAACTAAAAAATCGAAGAACTTAAGAAACGATAAATTGAAAAATGGAAAGATCAAAAATTAAGAAACGTTAAAAATCGAAAAATTAAAAATTAAAGACAACGAAAAATCGAGAAATTCAAAAATTGCAAAATTGAAAAACTTAAAAATTGGAAGACCGAGGAATTGAAAAATCAAATTTTGAAACATTTGAAAAATTGAATAACCAAAAAATTATGAAATCGAAAGAAACATTGAAAAAATAAAGGAAACGAAAAAACGAAAAATTATATAAAATCGAAAAAGTGAAGATAAACAAATCGGAAAAATAAAAAATAAAATCAAGAACTTGAAAAATTGACAAAACGAAGAATTGAAAATCGAGAAATTGAGAAACTATAAAATCAAAAAATTAAAAATTAAAGAAATGGAAAACCAAAGAATAAGAAATATCAAAGATTGAAAATTTGAAAAATAAAGGAAACGAAAAATGAAAAATTGTGATCTAAAAATTAAAAAATCGGAAAAATAAAAGTTAAAACTTGAAAAATTGAGGAAACGAAGAATGGAAAAATCCAAAAATGAAAAATTGTGAAACTGAAAAAACAAAAAATGAAAAATTGTAATGCCTAAAAATTGACGTGATGGTCCTAATAATATACACACAAGTCAAGAATTCCAATTTTTGATTTTTCAGTTTTCATTTCATACTTTTTCATTTTTGATTTTGCAATTTAAAAATTTGCAATTTCTCCATTGTTTTTAATTCGAAAAGAAACGAAAAATTGAAAAATGGAAAAATCAAAAACGAAAAAACTTTAAAAATCGAAAAAACGAAATATTTTAAAATGGAAAAATTAAAAATTAAAGATAACGAAAAATCGAGAAATTAAAAAATTGGAAAACCGAGGAATTGAAAAATCAAAGTTTCAAAATTTGAAAAATCGAATAACTAAAAAATTATGACATCGAAAGAAACATTTAAAAAATTAAGAGAAATGAAAAAACGAAAAACTGTGATATAAAATCGAGAAAGTGAAAATGAAAAAATCGGGGAAATAAAAAATAAAAATTAAAAACTTGAAAAATTGAGGAAACGAAGAATTGAAAATCGAGAAATTCAGAAACTAAAAAACCGAAAAATTCAAATATTGCAAAAATGAAAAATTTAAGAATTGGAAAATCCAGGAATTGAAAAATCAAAGAATGAAAATTTGAAACATTGATTAAACGAAAAATTATAAAATAAAAAAAAAAACATTGAGAAAACAAAGGAAACGAAAAATGATAAATTGTGATATAAAATGGAGAAAATGAAACTTTAAAAATCGGGAAAATAAAAAACTAAAATTAAAAACTATTGCAAATTTGTAAAATCGAAAAATCAAAAATGAAAAAACGAAAAAGTATAAAATGAAACCTTTGAAAATCTAAAAATTTGGAATTAAGAACTTGGAAAAAAATTGAAGAAACGAAAAATTGAAAAATGGAAAGATCAAAAATTAAGAAACTTTAAAAATCGAAAAATTAAAAATTAAAGACAACGAAAAATCAAGAAAATAAAAAATTGCAAAATTGAATAACCAAAAAATTATGAAATCGAAAGAAACATTGAAAAAAATAAAGGAAATGAAAAAAAGAAAAATTGTGACATAAAATCGAGAAAGTGAAAATGACAAAATCGGGAAAATAAAAATAAAAATCAAGAACTTGAAAAATTGAAAATCGAGAAATTGTGAAACTAAAAAATCGAAAAAAACAAATATTGTAAAATTGAAAAATAAAAAATTTAAGAATTGGAAAACCGAGGAAATGAAAAATCAAAGATTGAAAATTTTAAAAATTAAATAAACGAAAAATTATAAAATAAAAAAAAATTGAGAAAATAAAGGAAACGACAAATGAAAAACTGTGATATGAAAATTAAAAAAATCGAGAAAATAAAAATCAAAAACTTGAAAAATTGAGGAAACGAAGAATGGGAAAATCGAAAAATGAAAAATTCTGAATCTGAAAAAACAAAATATGAAAAACTGTAATGCCTAAAAATTGACATGATGGTCCTAATAATATACACACAAGTCAAGAATTCAATTTTTGATTTTTCAATTTAAAAATTTGCAATTTTTCCATTGTTTTAATTCGAAAAGTTAAAAAATCGAAGTATTAAAGAAACGAAAAATTGAAAAATGTAAAAATCAAAAATGAAGAAACTTTAAAAATCGAAAAAACGAAATATGTATTGTAAAGTGGAAAAACTAAAAATTAAAGATAACGAAAAATCGAGAAATTAAAAAATTGCAAAATTGAAAAATTGGAAAACCGAGGAATTGAAAAATCAAAGTTTCAAAATTTGAAAAATTGAAGAACCAAAAAATTATGAAATCGAAAGAAACATTGAAAAAATAAAGGAAATGAAAAAACGAAAAATTGTGATATGAAATCAAGAAAGTGAAAATTAAAAAATCGGGAAAATAAAAAATAAAAATCAAAAACTTGAAAAATTGAAAAAAACGAAGAATTGAAAATCGAAAAATTGTGAATTTAAAAAATCGAAAAAACGAAATATTGTAAAACCGAAAAATTCAAAATTAAAGAAATTGGAAAATCGAGAAATTCAAAAATTGCAAAACTGAAATTTTGGTAAATTGAATAAACGAAAGCTTATAACAAAAATTGAAAAAATGAAATGAAAAAACGAAAAATTGTAATATAAAGCCGAAGCAGTGAAAATGAAAAAATCGGGAAAATAAAAAATAAAAATCAAGAACTTGAAAAGTTGAGGAAACGAGGAACTGAAAATCGAAAAATTAAAAATTAAAGAAATCGGAAAATCCAGAAGTTAAAAAATTGCAAAATCTAAAAATTTAAGAATAGGAAAACCGAGGAATTGAAATATCAAAGATTGAAAATTGAAAAATTGAGTAAACAAAAATTATAAAATAAAAAAAAAAACATTGAGAAAATAAAGGAAATGAAAAATGACAAATTGTAATATAAAATGAGAAACTGAAACTTCAAAAATCGGGAAAATAAAAATTAAATTCAAAAACCATTGCAAAATTGTAAAATCGAAAAATCAAAAATAAAAAAACGAAAAAGTATAAAATGAAAACTTTCAAAAAAAATATAAAAATTTGGAATCAAAAACTTGAAAAGAATTGAACAAACGAAAAATTGAAAAATGGAAAGATCAAACATTAACTAAAAAATCGAAAAAACGAAATATGTATTGTAAAATCGAAAAATTGCAAAATTGAAAAATTTAAAAATTGGAACACCGAAGAATTGAAAAATCAGAAATTGAAAATTTAAAAAATTGAATAAACGAAAAATTGTGAAATAAAATCGAGACAATGAAAATTAAAAAATCGGGAAAAGTAAAAATAAAAATCAGAAACTTGAAAAATTGAGGAAACGAAGAATTGAAAAATCGAAAAATTAAAAATTGCGACACGGAAAAATAGAAAAATGAAAAATTGTAATCTCGAAAAATTGAAGTAACCCAAAATTGACATGATGGTCCTAATATACACACAAGTCAAAAATTCCAATTTTTAGATTTTTCAGTTTTCATTTCATACTTTTTTCATTTTTGATTTTTCAATTTTACAAATTTGCAATTTTCCCATTTTTTTAATTCGAAGTTTGAAAATCGGAAAACTAAAAAATCGAAGGACTAAAGAAAACTAAAGATCGAATGAATCGAAAAACATTGAAAGATCGAAAAATTGAAAACCGAAAAATTGCAAGTCGAAAAATTGAAAAATCCAAAAACCGAAAATTTTCGTATTGAAAAAAAGAAAAATTATAGAATCTAAAAATTGAAAATTCGTGAAATAGCGAATCGAAAAAGTGCAAAATCTAAAAACTGAAACGCTCAAAAGTCCAAATTGGCAACGAAAAACTGAAAAATTGCAAATCGAGAAATTGAAGAATCGAAAAAAATTGAAAAAACAAAAAATTATAAAATCAGAATATTGAAAAATCGAAAAATTGTAAAAATAAAGAAAATAAAAAACTGGAACGAAATATTACAAATCGAAACAGGAAAACAATTAAAATTGAAAAAACAAAAAATTATAAAAAAGAAACTAAAAACAGCAAACCAAAAAATTGAAAAATTACAGAAATTGGAAAATCGAGATATTCAAAAATTGCAAAATTGAAAACTTTAACAATTGGAAAACCGAGGAATTAAAAAATCAAAGATTGAAAATTTGAAAAATTGAATAAAACAAAAACATTGAGAAAATAAAGGAAATGAAAAATTGTGATATAAAATCGAGAAAATGAAAATTAAAACATCGGAAAAATAAAAAATTACATTAAAAACTTGCAAAATTGAGAAAACGAAGAATTGAAAAATCGCAAAATTAAAAATTGTAACATCGAAAAATTGACATGATGGTTGGTTAATATACACACAAGTCAAGAATTCCAATTTTCAGAACGAAAAATTACAAATCGAAAATTTGAAGAGACGAAAAATTTAAGAATTGCAAAAATTAAAAACTGAAAACTTAAGAAATTTTAAATCGAAAAATTGCAACATCTAAAAATTGAAGTAACAAAAAAAGAAAAATTGCAAATTAAAAAATTGGACGACCAACTGAAAAAAATTAAAATTGAAAAAACAAAACATAAAATTATATAAAAAAAAAAAAACGAACAGTAAACCAAAAAATTGAAAAATTAAAAATTGAAAATTCGATAAACTAAAATCGAAAAATTGATTAATTAAAAAACTGAAAAAATTACAAATTGAAAAATTGAATCAGAAAACAAAAAACGCAAACAATTTTTACAATTTAAGTATCGTGTTGTTGAAAGAAAAATACATAGATTATAAAAGAGAAGCCGAATATTAGCGTACGCCAGATCTTAGTTGGCCACGTTGACACTTTATTTGACAGTTATTTAACAAAGTGTGTTGCCAACATAATTTTTTTAACATTAAATTTCCAACCTTACTAGAGGACATTTTGAGAATGAAAAATTTGGATTTTCAAAAAAAGTCAAGCAAAGTCGAAAGTACGGTGAGTTGAAGTTCCATATTACTTCTATTTTTCGCCCACCTGTAAAATTTTCTGTCAAAAATGTGATTTATTTGAAAATCCATTTTTTTTTTTTTGAAGTAGCGACGATGTTCTTCATTGAGAAAAAATTCAAGATCTTGAGAACAAAAGTAAAACTTTTGTGAAAAAGTCAATACTTTACTAGCGAAAAATTTTAAGAAATGAACTTAAAAAAAAACAAGGAGTAGAAAACCTGACTTATTTTTCGTCAATTTTTTTGAGATGTTTGCCTCAAAAGCTTTAATTTTTTTAAAGTTTTAACTCTACCTTAAAATATTTTTAAATTTGTTGACATTTTTAGCAAAAAAATAGCAAAACTTTGACGATGCTAATACTTTTAAACTTATCTCGAGAACAAAATAATAACATAAAATCAACAAATCAAGCCAACCTCACACTTATACAACTACCAATACTTACAATTATCACCGAAGGCCTTCGTAGTAAAAACTTCTTGCAGTTGTACAATATTGGAATGGTTTAAGTTTTTCCATAAGTCAACAATTACCATACACTTTGCATTTTGGAGTCGAAACCCTGCAAAAGCCGCCCTTCACTCAAAGCCCCCGCCGCCCCCCAACTCACCATGCACGCGTCTCAAACAATACGGAGTCCCAGTCTTCACATGCAGCGCTTTGTACATCGAAGCTTGGTACCCCAAATGCGTCTTGTGCAGCGAGTTACTCGGAATCCGCTCCAGAGGGCACAATTCATGGTAACTGTCAACTTGTGGAAGATCTGCAACACCCACCGTTACTACCCCGTCGCCTCACCCCTCCCCCTCACCGGCATACTGCTGGTTGTTCTGCATCAGCGTCAGCGCGTTCCGGTTCATCATCTCCATCTGCAGGTCCTTCGAGATGAAGAAGGCCGCGTCCTGCTTGGACTTGAGCGAGGCGATGTGGTTGGGGGTGCCCGGATAGACATTGTAGTCCGAGGGGATGTTGGTGCTGATGACGACGTCGGGGGCGTGGCAGCTCTCCGAGGTGGTGGAGTAGAAGTACGTCGTGCCTCCTACGTTCTCCTGGTACGCTAGGGCGATGTTGTTGCCCGACACATCCTGGGACATAGGCGAGCAGCTGCTGACTCGGTTCGGGGAGGTCGACTGGCTCGACGAGTTCTCGGGGTGCTCGACGCCGCTCGAGACGCACCGGATTGGAGTCGCATCTAACGTGGGGGTGAAGGAGTTGAAGATGTTCGGTGAAGCTGGAAGCCGGATTGGAACATTCTGTATAACACTAAATTTACTGACTTGTGTGACTTTGGGGGCACACTGACCAGAAAATACACGAAACTCATTGTCAAAGACGACACAAACAAACAGACGAATTTAAATAGCTAAATATTTAAAACGACAAAACGAGAAAGAAAATTTAGTACCATAAAAATATTATAAATGATAAGATAATTGCAAAAAACGAGGCAAGAAAAACGGACTCAAAGCCCAAAATTTTTCAAATTTGACCTTCAAACTCATACTGACAGAAAACTGACACAACTTTTTCTATTCCAGTTGGTTCCTGTTGTTATGATTTCCCTCAGAACTGTGGCGATAAACACGCCAGATGACAACATAAATAATGGAAAATTTTTTGTGTAGTGATGAGATAAAGATGGCAAAGGTCGAGTGTTACTAATAAAAAGCGCAAAAAGTGGGCTTATCGCGACGTCAGAGAGCCAAATTTGGTGCGCTTGTTCACCAAAGGGCGAAAATATTGGCGATTTGGGGCAACAGATGGTGGCTTCGTACCTGGAGCACTTGATACCAGTCCTGCTCCTCCGATGCACTGGGGGCTAGATAACGTCTTCTTGGGTGTGATGGACGCTTCTAGGTTCAATTTGCTCTGAAACGTCTGGTGTAGGTTGTTGGCGCTCGAATTCTGGATGCTCTACAAAAAAATAGGTCGAGCGTCTTTCACCACAAAACCGCCACCTTTACCATATAATTCGCTAGTTTCGATTCCTGCGGAACCCCATTCGTCTGCGTGAACCGGTAGTAAACCTGATGATCCATTAAATTTCTTCAACAAATCATTCACTACTCTTCCAATTTTTTCACCTCCACATACCTCTAGTAGTAACCATTTAGCGGGAACATTCTACCCGTGCAAGAAACGTATTTCTTATGGTTTTACTATGAGATTGGTCGTCCTGAAAGTTCGAATAATAGGTTATTCTTTATTTACTTCTTTGACACCTGAAAATTTGCTGAAAATAAACGCCATTTTGATTGTGTTCTTTTGACTTTATCGGCGGCCGAAAACACTCCGGTGACGGGAGCGATTTGACGGCGGAATTTTAGAAAATCGACAACACGTTAAAAATTTTCAATACCTGAAAACGTGGGTGAAAATGATAACAATATCGCTTTTAAAACAAAAAACATAAACATGAAAGTGGTTAATAGGCAAACGCAGAATAGCCAACTTTGAGATGCGGATGCTACTAGAGGTGGTTGGTAGTGCGTGGGCGCGGATTTTGAATTGTCGAAGCGGGATTGGCTACGGAAGCGCGCGCTGTTTGAATTCGGCCGACTTAGCGGGATAGTTGACTTGTGGCTCTAGGCTAAGTCGAACAAGATTTTTCTATTGGTTTGAGCAAACCCCTCCCTCACGTTCACCACCAATCACATATTATAACGGGACAAGTTCCGCCCTTATTCTGTCTACAGTTGCATCCCGGTTTGCTAAAAAATTCTACTTGTAGTGAGTTTAGTGGAACATAGAACGACGTATTAATAAACTAATTAAAATCTTAAAAAGTTTATTAAATACATTACAGTACGTTCTAGCGTAACTTTGGAAACATATGTACACATTTTGAATAAATTATTTACACCTTATCTACACCCGTTCTTTAGGAAATTGTGGAGGACCGCTACCGCCGCCTGCAGACAAACAAAACCACATTAACTTCCACAATAACACAATAAAAAAGTTGCAACTTTTATTTTAACAAGTAGATCACAGCACAAATTATATACAGAAAAGATAAGTTAATAGAAAGTATAAAAAAAGTAACTAAAATCGGTTTATCACTTTCTATACCCTACCGAAAATTCGCTTGTCCAATTTAGATAATGACACTATTGGAAAGGCAAGCAGTGTACTATGTACATAAATTGTACTAGACGTCAGTTCGAAAACTAAATAGAATTATGGTAGATTTGATAGCCAATCGAAATTTATGTTAACCTAAAAACTAAGTTAAAAGTTCAGTCTAAAACAGCACAGATCCTTACGCTGGATTCAGCTGGAGTATGTGAGACAACTTATCTCTCGAGTTCCACAGGGAATATAAAACTGAGACTCCTAATCCTATAGCGCCACCCATCCCACACTTCCTCAATCCAGCTAAAACCACAAATTACAAAACCGTGAAAACCCCTTGACCCCCATTACCTGTGGACTTGTACAAGCATCCGGTCGCCGTAGCCGCCACCACCGTGTTTAAATCGTCGTCTGCCCCCCTCACCCACTGCAAGAACACCCCAAAAGCTGAATAAATCACCGCTATCGAGCCGCACGTGTTCGCCGTGGCGCTCCCCTTTTTCATTACGTGATTCAACAACCTAAAACCAACTCTTAAAAAACGCATTTGTACTCATTCCAGCTCGTACTGTGTTCGCCTCAATTTGCCCGTCTGTCCCGCCAAAGTGGTGGCTTTCAGTCCGTTGTAGAACCCCGTCGCGCCGCCCACGGAAGCCCCGATCATGCACGACCCCCCTATCTGTCCAAAGGCTAGTTCAAATCTGCCGCGCTGCTTGCTGGCTCCATCCAGAAAAATGAACTCGGGCTGGGTCTGCGGTAAGTAGCTGGGGTCGAAGTTGAGGTACGGGGATGAGAACGGCTTGTAGCTGCCTGAAACGGTTTTTATATAACCGGATTTGAGGTTATGGACAGGGTTTACCTAAACCTGCGTCTGTGGTGCTGTAATTTTGGGAGTAAATGTCGTTATCGTTCAGAGCTGACATTTTTTAGACACTGACACTGCGAATTTTACACGGGCTGGGGGGAATTTTTGTTTCGATTATTACTTGGACACATGCGACAGGTCGAAAATACGAAGGTCGAGAAGATGTCGGGAGAGTGACGTTTGAGGGGCGGTAAGGGCAGGACGCGATCGGGGATCGATTGTGCCACTATTTCGACAAAAATGGATTTGTTTGAGTGTAAATTATGTTTAGGGGCTGGACGAGTGTTTAAAAAACAAACTTCGTGACTGACGGTGTATACATAGAAAAACGACTATGTACGGTACTTACGCAACAGTATTACTGGTTGCCTATACCAAAATCAAACAAGGATTCTTGCCACAGGTATTTAGAGATCTGTAAAAGATTCAGTAAGAAAATGTCAAATTTAGCGCCGCCCACCCACCCGTTCTCGCTTTTTTTCAGAAATAAGAAAAAAATGTAATATCAAATTAATAGTAACTAGTTATAACAAAATAAGTAAATAAGACTGATTTTGGTAAATAACTGAACAATATTAAGACTTAAGAGTAATCACTGGACTGAAGAGAGGGTGGGTGGGCGGGGCTATTGTTTACTTATAAAATATTCTGTAGGAAAATGTTAAATTTGACCCCACCCACCCACCCGTTCTCTCTTTTTTCAGAAATAAGACAAAAATGTTATATCAAATAAGTATAGAAGTATATAAAAAAGTCTACACATATTAAAACACAAAGACAAAATGTCAGCCCGCCCACCCACCCTATCTCGTTTGTAATGACTTTTTTTTATTCGCCGTGAACCAAGGGGGCGGAGCTTAACTGCAAAATATTTATTTCGAAACAAGAAATTAAAAACCTGTTATTGAGTATCGCATTGTTCAAAGAATACTATGCATATTAAGAAAAAAGGGCAATTATATAAACAGTATTTCAATTGTGATGATTTATTTTTCCTTAGAAACTTAAAACACGTTTAAAATGGTATTTTTTTAAGGAAATATGGATTTTGCAATTAGGCTCCGCCCCTGGGTCTGCCAACGAATGAAAACTGCATTGCTATTTAGATCAGGGCAGGTATGGGTGGGGCCTAACCTTTGGCTTTATTTTTCTTAATATACATAGCATTCTTTGAACAATGCGATACTCAAAAACAGGTTTTCCATTTGAAATAACGATTTTGCAGTTAAGCTCCGCCCCTCGGCTTACGACGATTAAAAAAGAAAATCATCAGAATTGAGATAGGGCGGGTGGGCGGGGCTTATATTTTGCCTTTTTTTTTCTTAACATACATTGCCATTTTTTCACAACAGGAAACGTAGAACAAGGTTAAAATGGTACATTTTTGCAATTATGGGGCGGAGCCTAATTAGAAAATCGATATTTCCTTATACAAATTTTCCATTTTAAACATATTTTAAGTTTCATGTTGTGAAAAAAAGTCTACACATATTAAAACACAAAAACAAAATGTCAAAATCACTGGAATGAAGAGAGGGTGGGTGGGCGGGGCTATTGTTTGTTCATAAAAGATCTGTGGCAAAAAGTTAAATTTAACCCCACCCACCCACCCGTTCTCTTTTTTTTTTAGAAATAAAAAAAATGTTATATCAAATAAGTAGTATATCAAAATAAATAAGACTGATTTTGGTAAATGACTGAACAATATTAAGAGTAATCACTGGAATGAAGAGAGGGTGGGTGGGCGGGGCTATTGTTTGTCTATAAAAGATTCTGTAAGAAAATGTTAAATTTAGCCCCGCCCACCCACCCGTTCTCTTTTTTTTTTAGAAATAAAAAAATGTTATATCAAATAAGTAGTATATCAAAATAAATAAGACTGATTTTGGTAAATGACTGAACAATATTAAGAGTAATCACAGGAATGAAGAGAGGGTGGGTGGGCGGGACAACTGTTTTATTATAAAAGATTCTTTTGGAAAATGTTAAATATAGCCCCGCCCACCCACCCGTTCTCTATTTTTTTTTCAGAAATAAGAAAAAAATGTTATATCAAATAAGCAGTATATCAAAATAAATAAGACTGATTTTGGTGAATGACTCAACAATATTCAGAGTAATCACTGGACTGAAGAGAGGGTGGGTAGGCGGGGCTACTGTTTGATTATAAAAGATTCTATTGGAAAAAGTTAAATTTAGCCCCGCCCACCCACCCGTTCTCTATTTTTTTTTCAGAAATAAGAAAAAAATGTTATATCAAATAAGTAGTATATCAAAATAAATAAGACTGATTTTGGTAAATAACTGAACAATATTAAGAGTAATCACTGGAATGAAGAGAGGGTGGGTGGGCGGGGCTACTGTTTGATTATAAAACATTCTGTGGGAAAATGTCAAATTTAGCCCCGCCCACCCACCCGTTCTCTCTTTTTTTTTAGAAATAAGAAAAAAAATGTTATATCAAATAAGTAGTAGGTATATCAAAATAAATAAGACTAATTTTGGTAAATGACTGAACAATATTTAGAGTAATCACTGGAATGAAGAGAGGGTGGGTGGGTTGGGCTATTGTTTTTTCATTAAAGATTCTGTAGGAAAATGTTAAATTTAACCCAATCCACCCACCAGCTTTCTTTTTTTTTTCAGAAATAAGAAAAAATGTAATATCAAATTAGTAGTATAACAAAATAAATAAGACTGATTTCGATAAATAACTGAACAATATTAAGAGTAATCACTGGACTAAAGAGAGGGTGGGTGGGCGGGGCTACTATTTGATTATAAAAGATTCTGTTGGAAAATGTTAAATTTAACCCCACCCACCCACCAGCTTTCTTTTTTTTTTCAGAAATAAGAAAAAATGTAATATCAAATTAGTAGTATAACAAAATAAATAAGACTGATTTTGGTAAATGACTGAACAATATTAAGAGTAATCACTGGAATGAAGAGAGGGTGGGTGGGCGGGGCTATTGTTTGTCTATAAAAGATTCTGTAAGAAAATGTTAAATTTAGCCCCGCCCACCCACCCGTTCTCTTTTTTTTTTTAGAAATAAAAAAAATGTTATATCAAATAAGTAGTATATCAAAATAAATAAGACTGATTTTGGTAAATGACTGAACAATATTAAGAGTAATCACTGGAATGAAGAGAGGGTGGGTGGGCGGGGCTACTGTTTGATTATAAAAGATTCTGTTGGAAAAAGTTAAATTTAGCCCCGCCCACCCACCCGTTCTCTATTTTTTTTTCAGAAATAAGAAAAAAATGTTATATCAAATAAGCAGTATATCAAAATAAATCAATAAGACTGATTTTGGTGAATGACTCAACAATATTAAGAGTAATCACTGGACTGAAGAGAGGGTGGGTAGGCGGGGCTACTGTTTGATTATAAAAGATTCTATTGGAAAAAGTTAAATTTAGCCCCGCCCACCCACCCGTTCTCTATTTTTTTTTTCAGAAATAAGAAAAAAATGTTATATCAAATAAGTAGTATATCAAAATAAATAAGACTGATTTTGGTAAATAACTGAACAATATTAAGAGTAATCACTGGAATGAAGAGAGGGTGGGTGGGCGGGGCTACTGTTTGATTATAAAACATTCTGTGGGAAAATGTCAAATTTAGCCCCGCCCACCCACCCGTTCTCTCTTTTTTTTTAGAAATAAGAAAAAAAATGTTATATCAAATAAGTAGTAGGTATATCAAAATAAATAAGACTGATTTTGGTAAATGACTGAACAATATTTAGAGTAATCACTGGAATGAAGAGAGGGTGGGTGGGTTGGGCTATTGTTTTTTCATTAAAGATTCTGTAGGAAAATGTTAAATTTAACCCAATCCACCCACCCGTTCTTTATTTTTTCAGAAATAAGAAAAAAATGTCATAGTAAATAAGTAGTACAACAAAATAAATAAGACTGATTTCGATAAATAACTGAACAATATTAAGAGTAATCACTGGACTAAAGAGAGGGTGGGTGGGCGGGGCTACTATTTGATTATAAAAGATTCTGTTGGAAAATGTTAAATTTAACCCCACCCACCCACCAGCTTTCTTTTTTTTTCAGAAATAAGAAAAAATGTAATATCAAATTAGTAGTTTAACAAAATAAATAAGACTGATTTTGGTAAATGACTGAACAATATTAAGAGTAATCACTGGAATGAAGAGAGGGTGGGTGGGCGGGGCTATTGTTTGTCTATAAAAGATTCTGTAAGAAAATGTTAAATTTAGCCCCGCCCACCCACCCGTTCTCTTTTTTTTTTAGAAATAAAAAAAATGTTATATCAAATAAGTAGTATATCAAAATAAATAAGACTGATTTTGGTAAATGACTGAACAATATTAAGAGTAATCACTGGAATGAAGAGAGGGTGGGTGGGCGGGGCTACTGTTTGATTATAAAAGATTCTGTTGGAAAAAGTTAAATTTAGCCCCGCCCACCCACCCGTTCTCTATTTTTTTTTCAGAAATAAGAAAAAAATGTTATATCAAATAAGCAGTATATCAAAATAAATCAATAAGACTGATTTTGGTGAATGACTCAACAATATTAAGAGTAATCACTGGACTGAAGAGAGGGTGGGTAGGCGGGGCTACTGTTTGATTATAAAAGATTCTATTGGAAAAAGTTAAATTTAGCCCCGTCCACCCACCCGTTCTCTATTTTTTTTTCAGAAATAAGAAAAAAATGTTATATCAAATAAGTAGTATATCAAAATAAATAAGACTGATTTTGGTAAATAACTGAACAATATTAAGAGTAATCACTGGAATGAAGAGAGGGTGGGTGGGCGGGGATATTGTTTTCCTATAAAAGATTCTGTGGGAAAATGTCAAATTTAGCCCCGCCCACCCACCCGTTCTCTCTTTTTTTTTAGAAATAAGAAAAAAAATGTTATATCAAATAAGTAGTAGGTATATCAAAATAAATAAGACTGATTTTGGTAAATGACTGAACAATATTTAGAGTAATCACTGGAATGAAGAGAGGGTGGGTGGGTGGGGCTATTGTTTTTTCATTAAAGATTCTGTAGGAAAATGTTAAATTTAACACAATCCACCCACCCGTTCTTTATTTTTTCAGAAATAAGAAAAAAATGTTATAGTAAATAAGTAGTATAACAAAATAAATAAGACTGATTTTGGTAAAGAACTGAACAATATTAAGAGTAATCACTGGAATGAAGAGAGGGTGGGTGGGCGGGGATATTGTTTTCCTATAAAAGATTCTGTGGGAAAATGTTAAATTTAGCCCCACTCACCCACCCGTTCTATCTTTTTTTTCAGAAATATGAAAAAAATGTCATAGTAAATAAGTAGTATAACAAAATAAATAAGACTGATTTTGATAAATATTTAACTGAACAATATCAAGAGTAATCACTGGACTGAAGAGAGGGTGGGTGGGCGGGGCTACTGTTTGATTATAAAAGATTCTGTTGGAAAAAGTTAAATTTAGCCCCGCCTACCCTCCCGTTCTCTCTTTTTTTTTTTAGAAATAAGAAAAAAAATGTTATATAAAATAAGTAGTAAATCAAAATAAATAAGACTGATTTTGGTAAATGACTGAACAATATTAAGAGTAATCACTGGAATGAAGAGATTATTAACACTACTTTATTTTGACCATTTGCAGAACTTTTGTTCTTGCTAGGGTTTTTTGTTTTTTAAATTTTATGTTTCACGACAAAGACAGAACGATTCAACATAACCTTACTTTTTTGTTTATCATTTGAACTCTGTGATTTGACATGGTCTTTGTGGTGCGGTTAATATGAAGGAAGTGAAGCACCACAGGCAGCAAAATCTGTGTGAAACGCGGCCCGCGTACCGACAAGGTCGCAAACTAACGGCCGTCAAGTCTTACACAGTCACCGCGGAGTCCCAACATCTCTTCATCTACGGAGTCCCCAAAATCCAGTTGTTCAGCGAGCTGAAGACTCTGTGTTCCAAGTACGGGAAGATCGTAAAAATTCATTTAGTAGCGGACCACAAAACTGAGATTTTCACCGAGTGTTACCACGTAGTGTATGAAAGTGTTGAAGTTGCAAAGAGGGCGAAGCGCCAGTTGGACACTCGGTCGTTTTACGGGGGGCTGCTGCACGTGTGTTACACCCCCGAGTTCGAGACGGTGGAAGAAACTAGGAATAAGTTGCTTTCAAGGGCGCAGGGGATTTTGAACTATAAGGGTTAACATTTTCATTACTTTATTTAGTTACATTCTGTAATTTCCCTAATTAACAGGTGAGTGAATCTGTAGCTTGAGTACTTGTACAAAATGCAGTCTTTAAAAATATAATTGAGTTATTGCACACTGTGTTTATTATGGACAGTTTTAGAGACGCTCAACACAAATGACTAGTAACAATACCTCACAATAAATTACACGATTTCCCAGTCAGTCAACGACGTGTCAGACAAAGAATTATCATTTTTGACGTTCAGCTGAATGTCTGCCAGTTTCCAGTCATTTGGAATGTTTAAGCATGCTGCAACAAATGGGTTAGGGTAACCCCAAACAAGAGTCCAACCTTACCAGGGGGTACATCTTTGATAACAGGACTTTTACTAGAAGGTTCCTCATCAATTTCCACACATTCAATATCATCCACATTACCTAATAAAAGTTTTAAATTCAGCAATCCCGAAAGTAAAACTCACCTAAATTCAAAGCAGCCTCTTCTTCCGGTGCATCTTCAACCTCATCACAGTCGTTTTCGTGCAATTTATCCAACGAGATTTTCACTTTATCCAAATTTAAAATATCAGCAAGAATTTTCTCTTTGTATTCAATATCGTTCTGAATGGACTCTGGGCTCCTCAAGTCCGGTAAAACCCCCACCGAACTCAAAGTCATCAAGGTCGGTTTGATGTAACCGTCCTTTTCCTCAGAACTATTCGAACTCAAACTAATAGTACTGGCAGACATTTTCTTTCTATGTTTCGTCTGCCGGAACAAAATTTTCTCGCTGAATTGTTGTTTACCAATATCGTTGAACTTTTTCTCAATTTCCGGGTTGACAATCCGCGATTTGATTGGAGATTCTTTCGCTTCTTCGGCGTTCATTATAAGAGAGTTGTCCGTATGGATGTTCACGTCACTTGTGCTATCCAGGAATGGAGACATAGCCGGGATGATACTAGAAGTCTGGAGTTTGTTCGTGATATCTTTGATTGATGACGTTATAGGGAGAAAAGCGCTGGAGACTGGAGACGCCGAATTAACATCAACGTCTGGGTGCTGCTCTGGCCTGTACGACACCCTAATAATACTCCGCTCCTCCTCAAGCACGAAAATTTCATCCCTATACGTCGCCACCCACAACACACTACAACAACAAAATTAGTTTCGGGAACATTCTATTTCAAGGGGGCGCACTTCCTGAAGTGACTCATCGTCTCTAAAACGGTCATTTTCTCAGGATCAAGCACGTAAATCACGTCGTTATTGTAAGTCAAGAGGAGATTATCGTTGAATGGGAGCAAAACCCCGAACGACGGCTCTTTTTGGGGTTTGAGCATCTTCAAATTCCTCGAAATTGGGTTGATAATTGGCACCTCCGAACACTCCTTTTTTAGCAAGTCTTTAAACAACAGAGTCTTGTTGACGTTGCCGTCGTAATCCGCCACCCAAATTCGCAGACCTGGACGAGTACAATACAAAACCGCGTCTGTAGTTTTGGGGCCACTTTGATAAATAACGCCCCCGAAAGGCCCCAGTATCTTCCTGTCTTTTTTCCCGACTTGACAAACCTTCCACTTTTCCTGTCTCTGGCAGATGATGCTGCGGTACGTCGTCGAGACTAGCAGCCGCTGCTGACTGTAACTCAGCTGAACAACTTCATACGACTCGTTCAGAATTTCCATCGATTTGCAAATGTGCTTCAATTCAAACTTGGAATGAGTGAAATCACAAAAAATAAAACACAGGTGTAAATTTGTGACCTTATGCTACAAACAAGACTGAAAAAATTACCATGTAGAAGTCGATTTCCGTTAGAACAATGCAGCCCCCTTTATCCCCCGAGAACAACTTCATCCCATTTTTAGCCCACTCGATCGCCGTGATCGGCGATTTGTGTAAATCCGTCACGGTGTACCTCTCCACTTGCTTCCCTTTCGGTTTCAAGCTCTCTGGAATGCAATCCGGGTGCGACTTCGGTATTTGGAAAATATTTATACTCCCGTCGTTGCTGCCGCAAGCCACCATGTAGTCCACAGTCGAGATGATTTTAACGACTGTGACTTGCACATTCTGCTTCTACGAACAATCATTAGGTTGGTTAAAGCTTGAAGGGTACGTACTTCGCAGCGGAGCCTCTGCAAATCCTTCTTTTTTCGGTCGTACCAAAACACAACCCCCAGATTCGTCCCCAGGGCCAGAAATTCAGGCAACACGTCGAGACAGGTGAGCTTCACATCTTGGGTGAAGAAGCCGTTGGGGAGCTTCGACGGCAGTTTGTTAAACAAGTCGGTCAGGGGGGCCCATTCCTTCAAGCTGTTGTAGGTGTCATATGTTGCCATTTTCGCGGATCGGGGGCTCAGAGGGGCGCGCGCATTTCAAAAACGGCGGCATAACAGGTCATAAAAACGTAAACAAATAAATGTGGGATTAAAAACGCTAAAAAGTTTTTTAATTGTGTACTTCGCAGTGACACTTGGAGTGTCACTGTAGTGGCTAGAAGTCCCACTGGATCGAATGGAGTGTCGAACAAAAATTACAAATAGTTACAAAAATAAGTAAAATAAGTGTGAAAGTGTGAATCATACGCACTTAAACAACATAATAATGTGAAAGACTGGTAAAAGTAAAAGTGGCCACAAAGTCGGCTATTCGAACTGGTGGCGGTTATGCGTCGTGAGGCGCTTTGGTGATATCTAGGGACTTTCACGTCGCCTTTTTCCTCCAGTCAGTTTTTTTGATTGATGGGCTGTGAATCATTTTCTTGCATCAGTGTTTTTATTTTTAACTTTGGTGATAAAGTCTCAATTGCTACGTAAACTCTTCCAGAAAGCCCCCTCCTGGTGTACCTAACAGCCGCACTGTTTTCCAGCCGCGTCATAAATTTTAAATTCGAATGACCTAGACCATACATGCGCCGTAAGTACGAATTCCTCGGCCCGAAAAGGCAATTTCTAAATAAAACTCGGCGCTCCAGATATGCCGCCGTCGAAGACGTCCTCCAGTTACCATCGCCGACCCTGAGCTGGTGACCCAAATGTAGAGGTTAGGATTCCGTCTGGAAATGGTGCGATAAGCCGTGCTCAGTGATCAAATTGGGGGAAAACAAGCCTAATCGTAATGAGTGATTTCAAACCAAGGTTCCTAAAACCATCAGAAACATCAAGCTTCCTAGACAGAAACGACTCCTCACTCGCGGACAGCACCGATTTTATTTATAACAGACATCTGTCCCAGTCAATTCAAACCCAGCGACAGAAATTGCCCATTTTCAATAACAGAAACCACGTTTTGTTTCTGCTGGAGAAGTTCCAGACGCTGGTGCTAGTGGGGGAGACCGGGTGCGGAAAGAGCACACAAATTCCGCAGGTGAGTTATTTTTATAAATTTAATTGAGTGGGTAAATATCGCTTGTGTTTATTTATGATGCTAAAAATAGGTCAGAGTATTGTTTTTTTTTTGAAGTGGGGCTTGTTTAAAAGTTGAAGCTTTTAGCTAATTTTAAAGTAATGAGAGTCGTTCCTGATGTTTTAATTAATTAAATGACGGGACGCTTTTAGTATTATTAACTCTTGAAAGAGTGAAGCTCTTGTGGAGGATTCATCACTGTCGGGTTTATCTATGCAAATTTTGCTCTTTCATATGACCTAATTTTTTCGTAGTCGCATTTGAACCCAAATTAAATTCTTGTGTGCACACATCGCCTTCAAGCTTTTGATGACGTCACGCTACAAACGCCAAGAATGTGAAATATATTGTGTATTGATAAAGCCCTCTGAGAATTTAAACAACGCCGACTACGTGATGAACATGTTTAATCCAACAATGCATATTAAACGAAACCAATATCCATCTGACGTAATCCCCACTAATGTTCGTTAATTGTACAGTTAGTGGGCGCCGCCTCATTATCCAACTTTTTAATCCATTTTTTTACCATTAGAACTCCGACTTCCACTAATCGTCTGCATGTTTCTGGAACTGTTCGCTTCGGACTTCGTTTTTTCCATTACCGATTTCCACGAATTTTCCGCTCTAAATTGAGTCCGTACCATCACATAAAAAATGAATTAATTACACCACACCATCAAAATGAAATTAGCGGTGTGTCAAGGTCGGAAATACGATTTACGGGCATTAGAATAGGATTGATGATTAAATCAATAGTCATGACAAGACATGTGAAAAATAAATAAGGGTAGGCTTGTACAAACATGGAAAAGAGGTGAATGAGTTCGTCGATTAATTGAATTTGATGTGGAAATGCGCATCGATAAAGTAAGCGAGCTCTATCAACGACACTATTATTTTTAGTAGATTAGCTGTTCTGCACGCTTGCTTTGGAAATACAGTGTTAACATAACGTGCGTGCATAGTAAACATACGACAATTATTAGTTGTGGTTGAAAATAATAAGTCGCTGGTAATATCGGGAAGAGTTATTGTTTGGTGGTAGTTTGATGTAATGGTATGTTATTTGTGATGGGGTTGTGTCGGATTTTTACGCTAGATAAATAAGGTTCGCGTCGATTTATTTAGAAATTATTCCCTGTTATCGTTAATTTTAATTGCAAATGGTTTTTGAACTGTAACAATGGATAGTTCTATGTGCGGTATATTTTTAAACACATTTGCAATTCATCGCAATTAGTTTTAATTGTTTATTATTTTACCTTGGTTTTTATTGTCTTTTTTTCTAATATAGAGAATAACGTGTGTAGATAGAAGGGTTGAATCATAGATTAATATAGATGCGACATACAGGCTGATTTTGCAAAACCACCCTTATTGACATTGGATTAATTCTTTATTTGTGTTTTATACTAGCAAAACGTCTTAAACTAAGTATATTGTTGAAATCGTGTTCTACATATTTTGTATGAATTTTTTTTAAATGTTGTTAGTAACAATTTTTGTGGTTGTTTTCGATACACTATATGATATTAACAGTGAGAAAAAAATAACAATTAAAATAATCGAAAAATCGAGAAATCTAATAATCGAAAAATCGAAATCTTAAAAAATCGTAAAACCGAAACATTGAAAAATCGAAATATGGAAGAACTGAAAATCGAAAAAATGTAAAATTTAAAAACCGAATAACGAAAAATCGAGAAGTCGAAACTCCCAAATTTAAAAAATCGGATAACTGAGAAATCGAAAAATCAAAAGATCAAGAAATCGTGGAGTCGAAAAGTCGAAGAATTGAGAAACCGAAAAGTTAAAAATTGAACAATTTATAAATTGAGAAATTGACAATCAAAATATCGAAAAATCGAAAAGTGATGAAGTCGAAAAATCGAGAAACAAAAAGTTAAAAGTTGAACAATCAAATTCGATAAATCGCGAATGAGAAATTAACAAATCGAAAAATTGAAAAACAGAACATCTAAAACCAGGAAGTCGAAAAATAGAAAGATTAAGCAATCGAAAAATTGAAAAATCGAAAAAGTAAAAAAAAACGACACATCGAAAACTCCAGAAGCCAAAAGTCGAAGAATCAAAATATTGAAAAATTCCAAAACTGAAATATCCAAAAACTGAGAACCTAAAAAGTCGAAGAATTGAGCAGTAGAAAAATCCAAAAAGCGAAGTCGAAAAATTGAAACCTTGAAAATATTAAAAAATATAAAAATCAAAAACCCGAAAAATCGAAAAATTAAAGAATTGAACAGGAATATCGAAACCCTCGAAAGTCAAGAAATGGGAAAATCAAAACATCGATTAATTGAAAAAACGACAATTGAAAAGCAGAAAATCTAAAACCGGGAAGTCGAAAAATCGATTGATTAAGAAATCAAAACATTTGAAAAATTCGAAAACTTGAAAAACTGAAATATCGAACAACTGAAATGAAAAATGAGAAATCGAAAAATCTAAAATTCCAAATATTGAAAAATTAAAAAATCAAAAAACCGAAAAATATAAAATTTAAAAATCGAAAAATTGGAAAAACGACAATTGTTTTTTTTTCCAATTTATAGATAAATAATTCATTTACTCAGCCAAAGAACATAGAGAAGCGTCATAGTTTAAATTAAATGACCGTTGAGGACTCCTCGACTTATTTTGGCAACAGTGTTTGTTTCTAACTAAGAAAAAGTATCATAATATTTTTAACGATGCGTTTTACTTTCGACAAATTGACACTAGATTTACCGAAATTTTAATTTGGGGACTTTTCAGTTTACTCCTATTTATTATTCAATTTTTGGATTTTACTATTTTTCAATTTTTGACTTTTATAAACTCTTTATTTGTCGATTTTTCAGGTTTTTGGTTTTTCAATTTTTCTATTTTTTCAGGTTTCGATCTTTCAACTGCACTTTTTTGATTTTTCGATTTCTCAATTTTTCAATTTTTTAATTTCTCAGTTTTTGGACATTTCAGTTTTGGGATTTTTCAGTTTACTTATTACTCAATTTTTCCATCTTACGATTTTGCAGGTTTTTGATTTTTCCATTTTTTTAAGGTTTCCATAATTCGACTTCAATTTTTCGATTTTTCAATTAATCGATGCTTCCCAACTTGACTTTCGAGGGTTTCGATATTCCTGTTCTTCAATTCTTTAATTTTTCGATTTTTCAGGTTTTTGATTTTCATTTTTTAGTTTTTTTTAAAGTTTCGATTTTTCGACTTTACTTTTTGGATTCTTCGATTGCTCAATTTTTCGACTTTTTAGATTCTCAGTTTTTGGATATTTCAGTTTTTCGATATTGCAGTTTTGGGATTTTTCAATATTTCGATTCTTCGACTTTTAGATTATTGGCTCCTGAAACACAGAAAATCAAAAACCGGGAAGTCGAAAAATCGAAAGATTAAGCAATCGAAAAATTGAAAAATCGAAAAAATAAAAAAAAACGACACATCGAAAACTCCAGAAGCCAAAAATCGAAAAGTCGAAGAATCAAAATATTGAAAAATTCCAAAACTGAAATATCCAAAAACTGAGAACCTAAAAAGTCGAAGAATTGAGCAGTAGAAAAATCCAAAAAGCGAATTCGAAAAATTGAAACCTTGAAAATATTAAAAAATATAAAAATCAAAAACCCGAAAAATCGAAAAATTAAAGAATTGAACAGGAATATCGAAACCCTCGAAAGTCAAGAAATGGGAAAATCAAAACATCGAAAAATTGGAAAAACGACAATTGAAAAACAGAAAATCAAAAACCGGGAAGTCGAAAAATCGAAAGATTAAGCAATCGAAAAATTGAAAAATCGAAAAAGTAAAAAAAAACGACACATCGAAAACTCCAGAAGCCAAAAATCGAAAAGTCGAAGAATCAAAATATTGAAAAATTCCAAAACTGAAATATCCAAAAACTGAGAACCTAAAAAGTCGAAGAATTGAGCAGTAGAAAAATCCAAAAAGCGAAGTCGAAAAATTGAAACCTTGAAAATATTAAAAAATATAAAAATCAAAAACCCGAAAAATCGAAAAATTAAAGAATTGAACAGGAATATCGAAACCCTCGAAAGTCAAGAAATGGGAAAATCAAAACATCGAAAAATTGGAAAAACGACAATTGAAAAACAGAAAATCAAAAACCGGGAAGTCGAAAAATCGAAAGATTAAGCAATCGAAAAATTGAAAAATCGAAAAAGTAAAAAAAAACGACACATCGAAAACTCCAGAAGCCAAAAATCGAAAAGTCGAAGAATCAAAATATTGAAAAATTCCAAAACTGAAATATCCAAAAACTGAGAACCTAAAAAGTCGAAGAATTGAGCAGTAGAAAAATCCAAAAAGCGAAGTCGAAAAATTGAAACCTTGAAAATATTAAAAAATATAAAAATCAAAAACCCGAAAAATCGAAAAATTAAAGAATTGAACAGGAATATCGAAACCCTCGAAAGTCAAGAAATGGGAAAATCAAAACATCGATTAATTGATAAAACGACAATTGAAAAGCAGAAAATCTAAAACCGGGAAGTCGAAAAATCGATTGATTAAGAAATCAAAACATTTGAAAAATTCGAAAACTTGAAAAACTGAAATATCGAACAACTGAAATGAAAAATCGAGAAATGGAAAAATCTAAAATTTCAAATATTGAAAAATTAAAATATCAAAAAACCGAAAAATATAAAATTTAAAAATCGAAAAATTGGAAAAACGACAATTGAAACACAGAAAATCAAAAACCGGGAAGTCGAAAAATCGAAAGATTAAGCAATCGAAAAATTGAAAAATCGAAAAAGTAAAAAAAACGACACATCGAAAACTCCAGAAGCCAAAAATCGAAAAGTCGAAGAATCAAAATATTGAACAATTCCAAAACTGAAATATCCAAAAACTGAGAACCTAAAAAGTCGAAGAATTGAGCAGTAGAAAAATCCAAAAAGCGAAGTCGAAAAATTGAAACC